GAACTCAGAAATCCGCCTGCCTCTGCCTCCCAAGTGCTGGGATGCAGAGGCAGGCGGATTTCTGAGTTCGAGGCCAGCCTGGTCTACCAAGTGAGTTCCAGGACAGCCAGAACTACACAGAGAAACCCTGTCTTGAAAAACCAAAAAAAAAAAAAAAAAAAAAAACTGATACTGCCAGGCATGGTGGTACACACCTGTCATCTGCCATATTTTTTAGTTTTTTGAGACAGTTTTCCTGTGTAGCTCTGTCCTGGAACTCTGTAGACCAGACTGGCCTTGAATTCACAGATATCTTCCTTCCTCTACCTCCCAGAACTGAGATTAAAGATGTGCTACACCACACCCAGCCAGAGTAAGTAACATTTTAAAATGACGTGTTACATGGATCCTAGGGATTGGATAAACTGTGGGACTCACTGGATGGATACATTAGAAACTTTAGATGGGCACAGTTCTTACCCTTCATCAAAGAAGCTGCTTTCTGCTGCAGATGAAGGCGATTACAGAGACCAAGCGACTGGGAGCTGTCCAGCCCACACGGTGCATCCGCAGTGCAACCCCTACACCTAAGGAAAGATTATAAGGGCCAAAGGACCAGGAAGCCTGCTGCAAGATTGTGTCTTCTAGATATGACAGGGATGACACTCCCATGAAATCAACAATGTAATTGCCTAAATAAGACCTGCAAAATGACACTACCGGTTGACATGATAGTATGGGCGGAGGACCTACTCCTAGATGAAGCGCTATAGGCAATCAGTGGCAGCTGAGAAAAGGGAATATGTTTTCTTCATGGACAAACCTTCTGATAGGTTACTTGGTACCAAGTGGTCAGCCCTAAACACGTGTGTAAGAGCATCACTAAATGACTCAGCAGGTTTTTACACACACACACACACACACACACACACACACGCACAGAATTTTGAATTAGAGAGGAAATTGGGGAAACTAAATTTGAAGGGGCAAAGGGGAGTGGCTGGAGAGATGGTTCAGCGGTTGAGAGTACTGATTCCTCTTTCAGAGGTCTTGGATTCAATTCCCAGCAACCGCATGGTGTGGCTCATAACCATCTATAATGAGATCTGGTGCCCTCTTCTGGCCTGCAGGCATACATCCAGGCAGAACGCTGTAAACATAAAATATTTTTTAAAAAAATTTTTTTGAAGAGGGGAGAGAAAGGGTTGGAAATGACGTAATTAACAGTACTTATGTATGAAATACTAGAACAAATTTTAATTAAGAAAAGTAATTGTTCTCAGGTTAATGATATGGCTTTTGCTGCTTGATGAGTTTGATCCCCATAACCCACGATGGAAGGAGAGAGCTGACTCCCAAAGTCCTCTGACCTCCATGAATGACATGACCCTTCCGGGTCCACACTCACACAGACCACACATTCATAATAATAAAAAGTTCTCTGTCCTGAGTTTACGAATTTCATAACATGTCAATCCCAAGAAGCAAGCAATGAGTGGTTTTTGTA